AGCTCTACATTGATGTGATTGAAGTCCCTCCGCAAGGTTCCCCGCGGGCCTTTCACGATAACTGTGCGGCCCTTCAGAGCAATGTCGACTAGAACAGACAACAGATCGGTGAGACCATGGTACAAGTTACAGGGTGTGCAAGTAGAAGACATGCATCAAGTTCCTACCATTCTCTGGAATGTCGACAGTCTGGTTGCTGAGAATGGTCTTCATTCTGAAAACACAAACAGTTGAGATGAGAAAGCCGGCTCAGGGCCTGATTTCCACCGTGCCGCTGCGCTGCCCCTCTACCGAGCCTGCCTGCCTGCCAAGCAGAAACGCCAGAGACCCACCGTCCAAGAGACCGGGGGACACAGCCCTTAAACGCCTGTTTTGAGCCTCGGCCCGCGGACACAGACCGCAGCCACTATTCCTTCCCGGGGAGCCCGACTCTGGCTGCGCCATCTCATAGCCGAGACAGTGGTGTGTTAACTCTAAATGCCCAGGACAGTGCCCGAATCCTGGCCCCGCCAGATCCATGTGGCCCTTGCAAAGAAACCGATCCACGCCAAAGAGTCGCGTTGTCGGCCTCCTCGGATCCGATGGCTTCAGATACCTTAGAAAGACCACAAAGCGTAAAAGCAGCCTCACCTGGCAGCTAATGTGGTAAAGAGAGAGCGTCTGGCGTCATCACGCTTTTATAGCCTATGGAAGGCTCTGCGTGTTACGTCATTAGGCCGCGACACGTCTAAAGCCCAAAGCAGCCAATCGCAGAGCAAGTGAGTATACAGTAAATCGGTGGTTGTTCAATCGCAGCTCATTCCTGTCGGATTACTCCGTAGTAAACCGAGCGACAGTCGTCCAGCATTCCTTTCCCGGAAGCGGACGTTTTGGCCTTCAGTCATAACTAACCCTAAAGAGATTGTACAATGTCTCTACTCTGCGGGGGCTCCGTCCGCACCCTGGGATCCCCGGTGAGCGGGGTTAAGCTGTGGGCCGCCGTTCCTTTCCCTCCTTCAGACCGTCTAATGATGTTAATATTTTCCCTATGCAGTATTTGATTGCACTCTTCCCCCCCCCCTTAAATAGTTGTTTATTGGCAGTGGGTTGGAAAAGGTGATGGAGTTAGCAAACAGAGACGCCACCACACACCAATATCACAAGGGCAGCAAGAGTGATGGGAAGGAGCAGCCTGAAGCCCCAGATTAGGCCCTTCTTCTCAAGTGTTAAGTCTAAGAGGGCGCTGGGGTCTGGAGTGTCGAGGGGGGTGGCCTTAGAAAGCCTCCACTTAGTAGGCATGGTTAGAGACGAAGAGGGGCTCGCTGGCTGCGGCCCCGGCCTGACCGCTTGGGGTGTACTTTCCTTTGCAGGCGAGGCTGTTGGCCAAGGCTCGCTTGATATACTCCTCCTGGGCTGCCTTCAGATTCTTCTTCTTCCCACCCCAGGCCTTCAATGCAGAGGCCTGCAGAGCTCGGCCATAGGAGAAGGTCAGGGCCCATGGCTTCAGCAGGGGGCACTTGTTGATGGCATTGAGGTTGATGGATGCCTCCTCCTCACTCTGGCCTCCAGACAGGAAGGTGATCCCAGTAACAGCGGGTGGCACTGTGCAACGCAGTGCTCTAACAGTTGCCATGGCAATCTCCTCATGAGAAAACTTCTGTGTGCAGGCATGGCCGGGGGTTACCATGTTAGGCTTCAGCAAAGTGCCTTCCAAATAGATGTGGTGGTCACTCAGAGCCTTGTAGACAGCAGCCAGCACCTTCTCAGTTACATACTGACAGCAGTTCAGGTCATGGCCACCATCAGGGAGGATCTCAGGCTCCACAATGGGCACAATCCCATTCTGCTGGCAGATGCTGGCATAACGGGCCAGCACGTTGGCATTTTCCATGATGGCAAGAGCTGAGGGTGTGTGCTCTCCAATCTTCAGCACACAGCGCCACTTGGCAAAGTCAGCTCCGTCCTTCTTGTACTGGGCACAGCGCTCGGACAGCCCATCCAGCCCTTGAGTGGTGGTCTCGCCATTAGTCCCTGCCAGGGGTACCACGCCCTTGTCTACCTTGATGCCCACAACACCACCCTTAGATTTGATGACTTGGGGGAAGGGACGCCCATCATCCGCCTTCTGGTAGAGGGTCTCATGGAAGAGGATGACACCCCCGATGCAAGGGTTCACGCGGTCATCGGCGGTCAGCAGGAGCTGGCGGTAAAAGCGGCGGTTCTCCTCTGTGTTCTCGGTTCCAATGGACTGCAGGCGCTTGGCAATGCTTCCGGTGCACTCATCTGCGTCCAGGATGCCCTTGCCCGGAGCAACGATGCGATGGGCGATGTCAGAGAGCTCCTTCTTCTGCTCCGGGGTCAGCGCTGGGTATGGGTAGGGCATGGTGTTCTCGGTGGTGATTTCCAGGCGCGCTTAAGACTCCCAGCCTGCGTTTAAGACGCCATGTGTCACATTGAAACGGAACCGAGCGGCGGCTTCTGTGGCGCGCCCCCTGCACCCAGGTCGGCGCCCTGTGCCCGGGTCACCCGCCCAGGCACGCGGGAGGCCGTCACCTCGCCTCTGCCCGGCGCACCCCACATCCGGGTCCGACCTGGGCCTGATTGCACTCTTTTTACAGTTATATGACAGAATTCTCTGCTGGTGTTTTAAAGATTTTTCATGGCTAGCGCAAAGAGCTGTTTTATGCTTATCACAGAGCTTTGTGTGCGGGAAAGATAACCTGTTATACACTTGGTGACTGACAAAAGTTGGAAGTTATGCATTGCTCCGTTCAACCAGCAGCTTCTTGATCTAGGTATAGGTTTCATGTAAGCATAATTAGAAATTCTGGAATTCCCATTCTTTTCACAATTAGCCATAGTGTGTTATGATCCACAGTCTTTGACCACTACGCCTTTACATAGTCAATAAAACAAATAGGCATTCTTCTGATAGTCTCTGCTTTCAGGCAAGATCCATCTTACATCAGCAATACTATCCCTGGTGCCATGTCCTCTTCTAAAGCCAGCATAAAAACTTATGACAATTCTCTGTCAAAGTACTGCACTAAACGTTTTTGGATGATCTTCAACAGTATTTTGTTTGCATGTGACAGTAATGATAGAATTTTCACGTTCTGTTGGATAACCATTATTGGGAATGGGAAGAAATATGGTTTACTTCAATTCAGTCCACCACGTAGCTGTCTTCCAAATTTTCTGGCACTGATGGTGAGCACATGCAGGGCTGTATCTGTTATTTGCAACATGTCATTTGGTATCTCATCAGTACCTGGGGCCTTATTGTTTGTCAATGTCTCCAGTGCAGCTTGAACTTCTTCCTTCAACACCATTGGTTCTTTATCATGTGCTACTTGCGGAAGTATTTCCGTGTCAACCAATTCTTTTTTGTACTCTGTATTCCCTCCTCCTTCTTTTGATGCTTCTGCATTATTCAAGATTTTCCTCGTTATGTCTCAGTAAAGCAGCTTGGTTTTCAGTTCTTTCAGTTTGAAAAATGTTGAACAAGTTTTTCCTTTTTTATTCTCCAACTCCAGCTCTTTGCTCATTCCATTGTAATACTTTGTTTTGTCATTTTTTTAAGCTGCCCTTTGAATTCTTCAGTTTGTTTCTTTTACTTCAGCATCTCTTCCCTTTGTTTTGGCTTCTCAATGCTCTAGTTCAATTTTCAATTTTCTAGTTCAATTTGTTCCTATCCCAAAGAAAGGTGACCCAACAGAATGTGGAAACTACA